AAAAAATTTAAAAAGTGGAGGTTTTTTTGATGACCTCAACGCGCAGTAGCGTAAGATGATGACGTAGAAGGCGACCCGGAAAAGGAAAATCGTTTGCACAACGTGAGAAGTTTAGTTGTTGTATCCTCTTCTATATTAGCGCCAGAGTTAAAATACTATTAAGAAGAAGATTAAGCTGCTGCACATCCAGATAGGCAGAGGAACGGAGCCAATAGTAGGTGATAAATTAGCTTCTGGTTATATCCTTTTCTACTGCACTTATGTCTGCTCTGTTATTTTTATCTGGTATTTTCTGTCAGTTTTATTCAGTAGTAGTGAACACGTTTTATATGGATTATTCTTTATATTAGTCAACGCTATGGACAGCTTTCACAGAACACGACATTGTGCTTTGATGAAATAATGTACGATCAGCTTTACTAACGTTGTTTTATGTGTTGTTGTTGTTGAAAACCAGGATTTGTGCTCATGGCTCTGAATAAATCAATGCATCCTCGGAACCGGTATAAGGACAAACCTCCAGACTTCGCCTACTTGGCCTCTAAATACCCGGACTTCCAGCAGCATGTCCACACCAGCCTCACAGGAAGACCCATGTAAGAGGTTTGAATAGAAATGTAATGCAGGTCCAAATGATTTAGATACGTTTTTCTATTCAGTTCAGTTATTTATTATGGGCAAATTCACAACACGTCATCTCAAGCAACTTTGGTTAAAAGTTTCTATCTAAAGAAAACCAGCTGATTGCATCAGCTCATTGACTCTACAGCAATCCCTCACACTGAGCATGCATGCAGAGACAGTGGAGAGGAAAAACTCCCTTTTAACAGGTAGAAACCTGCAGAACCAGACTCGGCCGTCACCCGTGGCCGACAGAGGTTCAAGGAGAAAGAGCAAGACACGCAAAACAAACATAGAAGCAAAAATCCATAAACAGATTTAATGGTAGAAAAGGTAACTATAAATTAACTCTGCAGGTGGCTGTGTTTAGGAACGGACACATTACTCATCATAAGAAAAAAAAAATTTAAAGTTCTTGTAATGATGATGGAAGTGTCTGAGCGTGG